AAAACACTACAAGCAATAAAGAAAAGAAGAGAAGGAAAACAAAAGGCAGCAAACTAAGAACAGTATAATGGCTAATGCAAAAAGATAAAGAAAACTACTGCAACAACCATTGCAGAGAAACAGAAGACAACAGCAAAAAGGAAAGAACAAGAGATCTATTGCACAAGATCTGGGAAATCAAAGGAAAATTCAAACCAAGGACTGGGACGATTTATGACAATAAAAATAACATAATTCAAGACCAAGAAGGAATAAAAAGATGTTGGATGCAATACACAGAAGAATTATACAAAAGAGATGACAAAATGAAGGACACATGGAATGAAGAGCTATATGAAGATGAACTCTAAATTTGAAAAAGTGAGGTGGAAACTGCAATAATAGTGAAAAACAAATCACCAGGACCAGATGATATTCCAATTAAACTGCTGCAATCCACACTGAGAAACTCAACAGATATGAAAAGCAAAATGATGGCCAACAGATTAGAAGTGATCAATATACATCCCCATCCACAAAAAGGGATATACAAGAGACTGCAGCAACTACAGAACCATAGCACTGATCTCCTATCCAAGCAAAATCATGCTCAAAATTCTGCAACATAGACTCCAACCATATATATAGATAGAGAAATCCCAGAGATCCAGGTGGGGTTCAGGAAAGAAAGAGGCACTAGGGACCACACTGCAAACATACATATTTAATTTAAATTGTTTTTTAGTATTATGTTTTAATTCTATCATTGTTTAATTCTGTTTTAAGGGGTGGGAGGGTTTATGGGTCTGGGACAGTATTTTACATTGTATTGAGTTTTAATGATGTAAGCTGCCTTGATTGTCTCACAGAGGGGCAGGATATAAATAACATTTATTATTATTATTATTATTATTATTATTATTATTATTATTATTATTATACAATGGCTAATGGAGCACACCAGGGAATTCTAAAAGAAAATCAGCATGTGCTTTATAGACTATAGGAAAGCCTTTGAATGCATAGATCATGAAAGGCTATGGAATGCCCTTAAAGACATGGGGTTGCTAAAACATCTGATGATGATGATGATGATGATGATGATGATGATGATGATGATGATGATATTTATTTATAGCCCATCTAATCATGAGGAATCTGGGCAGGTTACACCAATATAATACAATAAAATTCAAAATTAAGTGTTGCATGTTTCCAGATTTAATCACCAATATACAATTTTAACTACCAACATACAGTACCACTTTACATATATTTTTTCTATTTTTGTTGCTTGTTTTAGGATGGAATGCCCATTTGGTTAGAATTTAGGTTGTGAAATTGGGAAATTTTAATAATTTATAGACATACAGTTTTGGAACAGGTGGTCTGTTTTATATCATCTCTCTTTTCATCTTGTGTTGAATATGCAAGAGTGTGCATTTTAAATTTCTTCTTCAAAATAAAATAGAGCAGTGCACTCCTCCTCTGATGGTGCTGGGAAGGGCAGTTGGTGCTAGGCTTGCCCTCAGAAGCGCTGAGAAGTCCTGATGATGAATCTATACTCTGGACAAGAGGCTACTATCAGAACAGAACACAGAGAAACAGAATGGTTCCCAATTGGCAAAGGACTCAGACAAGGCTGAATCCTTTCACCCTATCTGTTCAACTTGTATGCAGAATACATTATAAGAAAAACTGGCTTGGAAACAGAAGAAGGAGGAGTGAAAATAGGAAGAAGGAATACCAACAATTTAAGATATGCAGATGATATCATAATACTAGTAGAAAACCTCACAGACCTGGAGCACCTACTAAGGAAGA